AATGAGGCAAGACTCACTTAACCAATGTCTCGCTTAGCAACATAAATTTTGGGCTCAGTTGTGGTAGGAGGTAGAGGACTGCCTGTAGAATATTCACCCCTGAGCATTTTCACCCTACAATGCACAGAGCCTCTGGGTTAAACGCGTCTTACCCTTAACCTAAGTTACTTTTATGTGGAACAACAGCCCAGGCAATGAATGAAGTGCAGGAAAAGAGATCATCCCATCAGGAGGTTTCAGCAAACAGGATCCTAGCACCATGACTGAGCCCAGAATTACAGCTGGAAGTCATTAAGCAGGATCCCAGGTCACACACCTGACCTTATACAACATCTTTTGCTGCAGTTGTTCCCCTCCAGCCCCCACAACATCCGGAGCCAACTTCCATGTCACTGAGGAATTCTCCCCACTGTCAAGATGTGTCTTCTCCATTCTAGGTTGGGCCTAAGTTTGTGTTTGCCTTTTTTTAAGGGGCCAACTTATTGTCCAAATGAGGGGGTCAGACTAGAAGACCTCCAAGGTCCCTTCCAGCTCCGTTTTCTTCTTCTTCTTCTTCTCCACAACAGAGCCCATAACCGAGGAAAGCTGCTTCCCGCAGGGTCCCACCACGGCAGCCCTCATTACCAGAGACTCCGAGCCAAAGTCAGGCCGGCCACCTGGGAGGGAGGCAGCCAGGGAGGCAGCCAAGTTGTCTGCAAAACATCCAGGAAAGTTTTCTCCCACAAATTAGGGCCCAGAGGAGAGGCTGGACTTCTCGGCCTCCGGGAGGATGGCCACAATGGCAACTGTTGCGCCAGCCCTGGGCGGCTCGGCGGGATTGTCCAGCTCATTAGGGCTAATTGGCCTCTGGGCCCAGCGCAGCTCCCGGGAGGAGGCCGGCTGTTTGTCCGCCGACTGGGGCTTCAGCCAGGGAAGCCAGGGGGGGGGGACAAAGTTTGTGGCCTTCCCAGAAACTCTGCCTGCAGGAGGGAGGGAGGGAGGCCAAGCAGAGATGCCCCGTCCAGGCAAGGAGAGCATCCTTTCACCTGCCAGGAAACGAGATGCACACAGTCCTCAGCTTACAACCTTTCTGGCCACCGTGGTTGAAGTGAATCACTGCCATTCTTAAGCTAATTGTGTTGTTCAGTGAATCCGGCTTCCCCCTTGACTTAGCTGGGCCGAAGGTCGCCCAAGGGGATCACGTGACCCCGGGATCCTGCGACGGTCATAAACAGGAGCCAGTTGCCAAGCGCCTGAACTTGGATCTCGTGGCCAGGGGGAGGCTGCCAGGGCTGCTAAGGGTGGGGGAACAGTCACAAGTCGCTTTTTAACGGGCCGTTGTGGCTTTGATGGCCGCTAAATGAATGGCTGTAAGTTGAGGATGACGGGCACACCAGGAAAGGAAAAAGGAAAAAAAAGGGTGGGGGGGGGGGAAACAGACCCAGGAAACTATATAGACCAATCAGCCTAACATCAATTCCCCGGGAAGATACTGGAAAAGATAATAAAAAAACAGACCTGCCAACATCTAGAAACAAGTAAAGTAATAACTAGCAGTCAGCACGGGGTTGTTAAGAACAGATCGTGCCAAACCAATCTTATTTCATTCTTCAACACAGTGACTAAATTAGACCAGCAAAATACTGTGGACATAATATAGTTAGATTTCAGCAAGGCATTCGACAAAGTAGACTACAACCTATTTCTTAGTAAGGTAGAAAAAAGTGGAATAGATAGCACCACCACTAGATGGACTCGCAACCGGCTGGCAAACCGTACTCAATGAGTAGTCAGACCTTAATGGGTCTAAGTCTACATGGAGGGAAGTAAGCAGTGGGGTGCCACAAGGTTCCGTCTTAGGCCCAGCCAGGACTCTTCAATATCTTCATTAACGACTTAGATGAGGGAACAGAAGCGGAACTTACCCAATTTGCAGATGAGACTAAGCTGGCAGGAATAGCCAACACCCAAGAAGATAGGCTCAAGATCCAGATGGATCTTGACAGACTAGAATACTGGGCCATATCTAATAAAATGAAAATCAATATAGAGAAAAACCCAAAGGACACATCTAGACTGGGTGAAACCAGGCTCAATAGCAGGAACTGGGAGAGGGATCTTGGAGTCTTAGTGGACAACCAGCTAAATAGGAGCCAATGTTGTGCAGCAGCAATCAAACAGCCAATGCAATCCTTAGTTGCATCAACAGAGGGATACAATCGAGATAAAGGGAGGTACTAATACCACCCTATAAAGCCTTAGTAAGGCCACACCTAGAGTACTGCATCCAGTTTTGGTCACCACACTACAAAAAATATGTTGAAACAGAGTATAGAGAAGTATACAAAGAGCAAGCAGGAGGATGAAGGGACTGGAGACTAAAACATACGATGGACGGTGGCAGGAACTGGGCCTGGCTGGTCTAGGGAAGAGAAGGACCAGGCAGGACAGGAGAGCAGCCTTCCAATATTTGAGGGGCTGCCCCAGAGAGGAAAAGGGGGTCAAGTTCTTCTCCAAAGCCCCTGAAGGCCAGACAAGGAACAATGGATGGAGACTGACCAAGGAGAGATTCAACCTGGAAATAAGGAGAAACTTTCTGACAGAAGAATCAACCGAAGGAACAGAAGTTGCCTTCAGAGGTTGTGGGAGCTTCATCCCTGGAGGCTTTCAAGAAGAGACTGGACTGCCATTTGTCAGAAATGGTGTAGGGTCTCCTGCTTGGGCAGGGGATTGGACTAGATGACCTATAAGGTCCCTTCCAACTCTGATTATCTGTTATCTGTAACGCCCAGAATTCCCCCCCCCCCCAGTCATGTTAGCTCAGGAATTCTGGGAGTTGAAGTCCACAAGCCTTAAAGTTGTCAAGTTTGAAGACTCCTGGTCTATCTCATCTATTGATCTACCTATCATCTATCTATTGATCTATTTATTGATCTATCCATTCTATCCCTATCTACCATCTATCTATCTGTCTGTCTGTCTGTCTATTCCAAGAGTCTTCAAACGTGGCAACCTTAAGACTTGTGGACTTCAACTCCCACAATTCCTGAGCTAACATGGCTGGAGGAGGAATTCTGGGAGTTGAAGTCCACAAGCCTTAAAGCTGCCAAGGTTGGAGACCCCTGGTCTATTCTATCTACTATCCATTCTATCTCTATCTATTCTATCTCTATCTATCATCTGTCTATCTCTATATTATCTATCTACTATCTATCTTATCTCTCTGTCGTCTGTATCTTCTCTATTTCATAGAATCCTAGAAGGGCCCTTGGAGGTCTTCTAGTCCAACTCCCTGCTCAAGTCAGGAGTCCCAGTCCAATGGATGTCCAGTCCATTTTGGAAAGGCTCCCGTGATGGGAGTCCCTACAACTTCAGGAAACCAGCTGTTCCATGGATTGATGCTTCACACTGTCAGGGAATTCCTCCTCGGGTCATGGAGCTGGGCTCGGAGCCACGGAGGGGCTGGCTTGGTGGCCTCCCAGGCCCAGCACCCCACAGGAGCAGCGGGGAACTCCCTGCTGGCACGCTGCACACCCCACACGTGCTGAGCCACGTCTGCCACCTGGGGCCACCTTGGCTCCTCTCCTCGGCTGGAGGAAGACCTTCCCCCCAGGGGCTGCCTTGATATGGAGGAGGAGGAGGTCTGACCGCAACCCAGGGAGGGAACTTTGGGGCTGGTCCTCCCAAAGGGTCCCTCAGAGAAGATTTCAGGCGTTGAGGCTCAGGCAGAAGGTGCGCAGCAGCTGGCCTGGCTCGGTCGTCCTCGGACCTTGGTGAGGAGATGTGGAGTGTTCGCTGGGAGGCGTCAGGACTTGAAGGGGGGGAACTGGCAGGGGGGGAGGCTGCTGGCCGAGAATCCTTCTTGGAGGCTCCCTAAGGTTCGTTCTTGGAGGGGCGTTTCCACTCTATCTAGCTGGCTTCCCGGGGCCCATTTCTTGAACCGGCCCCAGAGTTACCTGAGCAGTTCCAGGAGACCAGAAGGAGCCACTCCCCACAGATGAAGCCTTTTACTTTTGCAAAATTCTGGAACATAATGACTAAAGAGAGAACAGAGTTGGAAGGGTCCTTGGAGGTCTTCTAGTCCAACCCCCGCTCCAGCAGGAGACCCAAGACCATTTCAGACAAATGGCTGTCCAGTCCCTTCTTAAAAGCCTTCACAACTTCTGGTGGCAAGTCGTTCCACTTGTTGATTGTTTTTACAGTCGGGAAATTTCTCCTTGGTTGCAGGTGGCTTCTCTCTTTGACAAGCTTCCACCTGTTGCTTCCTACCTGGCCTTCAGGTGCTCTGGAGAAGAGCTTGGCCTCCTCTTCGCTGGGGCAGACCCTCAAGTCCTAGAAGACGGCTGCCATGTCCCACCTAGTCCTTCCCTTCATTACAGGAGACACCCCCCGTTTCCTCAATTGCTACAGTTTGGCCTCCAGATCCCTGGGGGGGGGGGGTTGCACTCTTTCTGGGGTCTCCTTTTCTCTTCCTGCATCTGAAGTTCTCACCTAGTTTGACTCGATGCCGTTTCCATCAGGCATTCAGGGTTCATATATTCCTCTGCTTTTGTTCCCATTGGGCTTTCTCAGGTATCCCTTGTTTTCTTCGCAGGTGATGGACTTCCTCACTTAACAATCCAGGCATTCAATGGTTTGATGAGGTCATTCAGGCCAAGTCCAAATTTCTGTTCAGGACAGGAATCCAGAGAGCAGCATTTAGGGAAAGTTGCAGTCAGCCCTCACAATCAAAGAGATTTTTTCCAAGAAATATTCAATCTTGAAATACTAATCGAAGCCTTATTAGGGTCCTTACTGCTCTCTGAGCTTAGTGGTTTTCATGCAGATGTTTCATGATCCACTTGGGGAAGATGATGAGAACTAGAAGGGAGTTGGGTGTGTGGAGAGGACAATGACTAAGGGATCATCTCAGCTGCTTCTTCTGCGAGGGTTTCCCCAACTTGGGATTGACCCAAAGGCAACTGTTCCTTTTCAGAGCCAAGACACTGAGGTCCATCAACCTGCCAGCCAGGGGAGCAGAGATGCAGAACAGCACAGCCAACGTGTCCTACGTGGAATTCACCCTGGTCCCGTTCCCAGGTCTCCAGGAGCTCCGGCCCTTCCTCGCCCTCCCTTTCTTCTGCCTGTTCCTCCTGATTGTGACCACCAACTCCCTCGTCATTTACACGGTGAAGACGGAGGAGAGCCTCCACTCCCCCATGTGCCTGCTCATCGCCTTGCTCCTGACGGTCAACCTCTTCGGGACTTTTGCCATCCTTCCCAGAATGCTCTTCAGCCTGGTGCTGCCCGCCAGCCACATCTCCCTGACCGAATGCCTGGTGCAGATGTTCTTCCTTTACTTCACCATCCTCCTGGACTGCAACGTTCTCCTGATGATGGCTCTGGACCGGTTCCTGGCCATCTGCCACCCACTGCGCTACGCAGAACTCATGACCATCAAGCTCCTGAGCTTCCTGATGCTGCTCTCCTTGCTGAGAAGTCTTGGCACGGTTGGACTGGTGGTGGCCTTGGCCTCCCGGGTGAGGTTCTGCCGGTCAAACGTCATCAGCCATTTTGCCTGCGAACACATGGCCGTCATGAGGTTGTCCTGCAGCGACATCTCCGTGAACAAGAGGGTAGGTATGTCTTTAAGGTTCTTTGAATTCATTCTTGACTTCAGCCTCCTCTTGGCTTCTTACAGCCGGATTGTCCACACGGCTCTGAAGATCAGCTCTGGCAACGTCCGTCACAAAGTCTTCCACACTTGTGGCACCCACTGGATCGTGATTGTCATCAGCTACTCCTCTCGCCTCTCTTCGTCCATCGTCTTCCGACTCGCCAAATCGGCCTCCCAAGATGTTCACAACATCATCAGTGCAACCTACCTGCTCTTCCCCTGGACTGTCCACCCTTTGATCTACGGTATGAGAACCAAAGAGATCAAAGCCAGCCTCCTAAAACTCTTTCCAAAAAAATAAACCTTCTGATCTTTCTCCTCCTCCTCCTCCTCCTGGAAGCCAATTTATTGGCTTTGTCTTTGGCCAAAAATATGTCATTATTGGTACAAGTTTCTGGTAGTAGCCAACAAAACAGTAGATGAGCCGGGCTTTGTGTGTCTCCACATTCACACACCTTGTTGTTCTCTGCTAGGGGGCTCCACTTGTGCACATTGGTTTTATAGTTAGCCACTCCAACTCTCAACCTATTTAGGTCCTCCAAGTAGTATAAGGGACGCCAGATCCTTCAGACAGATCTTCCTTTAATTAGTTATTCCTGGCTTGATGGTCTCCTTTCTCCATCTTTTAATTCTTGGGTGCCCTCAAGACTGTTGGTTCTCGCCATAAAGCTGTTTCAGGATCTGAGTTGGCATGCTTGGGGAAAATGTCCATTGAGGGGATGTCAAGGGTCGTCCTCTGGCTTAATTCTCTCAGCTGCTGCTGCTGCTGCTGCTTCTCTCTGATCTTAGGTGGGGCAATGCCAGCGAGAGGGTATATTTTCTATTTTTCCTCGAACGTTTGTTGAGTTACCCAAAATCAGGTAAAACTGGTTTTTCTTTGGGACTCCTCCCCAAGACGGCTGTAGAACAGCAAGCGGTTTTCCTTTTTCTCTCTTGCTGATGGTCAGCTGCTTTTGCTGCCAAAGCTGGCTCTCTGGCAGGGCCGCCCCCTGGATTTAAATGGGAGCACTTAGGAATGACCGGAGACAACTTTCCGAAGGCCGTGGATCCATCTGGGAAGGGCAGCCCCCCACCCCTCCTGTGAGAGTGCTTGGAAAGCCGCCGATCATCCACTTTTCTTTTGGCAGTTCACTTTCAATCTAAAGCACGCCTAGGATTTATTGTCACTTTTTGAATCTTTTTACTCTGCTTTTTATTTTTAAAAGCTGACCAGTAGGTTGAATGCTTATTTATTTTAACCCCTGCTGGACTCTGACTGTTCTTTTTTCTTTTGATTTATGTTGTTGTTTTGAATAACTTTAACCTTTCTATAAGGAAACAGCGTGTTTTTGGATGATGAAAGTGTTTTCATTTTATTTATATTAATATTGGACTCTCATACAGTTTTTGCAGTTTATTAATTTGCAAAATATTTGGGGTTTAAATTTATTTTGTTAATCTTGGATCAAAATGTTCAGAAAATATCTTCAGTTTATTTATTTCTTCACTTTGCCTCGGTATTCTTCACTTCCTGTTTAAATTACACAGAGCAATAATGTGTCAGATTACAGACAAGCAAGAGTGGCTGATATCTGGAAAGAAACTATTTGGTAACATGCAATTTTCACTGAAACTTTTTTTTAAAAGTTTGATGAAATGATAACGGCTCTTCCCCTGGACTGTCCACCCTTTGATCTACGGTATGAGAACCAAAGAGATCAAAGCCAGCCTCCTAAAACTCTTTCCCAAAAAACAAACTCTCTGGGCTTCGCAAATCTGGGTGAGTTTCCCAAAACTGCGTAAAAGTGGCTTTTCTTTAGTGTGGTGACAAACAATCCCTGACCCTTCGCAACAGGGACGGTGGATTTTCACCCGTTTCTAAAATATTTCCAAAAATATCTCCAAGTATTTCTATTAAGATGAAACGGAATAGAAGAGAACTGTGAGCTCCTCAGTGCTCTCTGAGCTCGGTGGTTTTCTTGCAGACATTTCATTACCAAACTAGGTAACCTCATCCGTGCATGGGTCAAACAGGTGCCCTTTTCTCTCTTTTCCTTCGCAACGTCTTGCTTTTTGTTTTCAGTCTCCCTGCTCAGGAATATTCTTTCTGGTACTTTCCCTCCCAGATCCGACCAACAGGATCCCATGGGTGTGGGAGAGGGCAGGTCCTTGGCCGGTCCAAGGGACCCCCCGTTCTTTGCCTTCAGAGGGGAACCTTCCACCGTCTGTGGTTACTGACCACTTGCTTGTCATATGGACTATCTGAACCCCTCGACTCCTAAACAGTTGAAAGCAAACTCACGATTGGACTTTTTAAGCGTCACTGAATCCTGTGCACCCGGTTACAGAAGTGGAAGGGACCTTGGAGGTCTTCTAGTCCAACCCCCTGCCCAAGTTGGAGACCTTACTCCAAGGGTGTTCAACCTTGGGAACTTTAAGACTTGTGGACTTCAGCTCCCAGAATTGCCCAGCCAGCACGAAGTCCCCGAGTCTTAAAATGGCCACGGCTGGGCACGGCTACCATCCCAGACCAATGGCTGTCCAGTCTCTCCTTAAAAGCTCCAGGGATGGAGCCCCCACGGCTTCTAGAGACAAGCCCCGTCCGGAAATCCCTCCTCGTTTCTGTCCTTCTTAAGCTTCCGTCGGTGGCTTCTTGTCCTGCCTGTCTTGGGGAACAGGGTGACCCCCCCCCCCCGCCCCCCACTTCTCTTCTCAAACATGGGGAGGCCGTTCCTTCCCCCAAGAGTGAACTCAAAGTGACCGGCCAGGGAAGGTGCGCAAAGGTCTCGAAGGACGCCCCTCCAATCACCCCCACTCAGTCTTTATTGATGTCTTAGACAAGCCTCAAGGGTTCAGGTCTTCAGGCAGACTAGCCGAATACAATAAATAGTCACAACGGAAGCCACGGATTTTGTTAGAAAACTACACAGTGAAGTCGAGGAACCTCCTCCGGGGTTCAGTCCAAGCAGCCCAGCCTGGCCACCGAGTGCAGTCGGGATCTTAACGGAGCAAAGTTTTCCAAGGATTCGAGAGGAGGGAGAAATTGTTCCAAGAACTCCTTCCCCAAAGAGGGACCCAGGGAGACATGGGACCGGGGGGGGGGGGGCTAGAAGGGGCAGCAGACCCTCAGAAGGGGATCAGGCAGGAGGGGGGGAATCATCAAAGCGGCTCAGGCTCGGCACGGCTGAACCTGCCTCCTGAGAGGGAGGGGGCTGAATAAGGAGCAGCCCCTCGCACAGCTACCCAAAGGCACTTACAGGTTCTGGCTGCAGCCGCCGGACCCCGTTTTTGTCTGCTTCCCTTCCCCTCCTCCCCCCCCCAGCGCTTGACCTACTACCCTCCCAGTCCTGGCTTGGCCGCTTCCAAGGGAAGGCAAGGGCCGGGTGGCTACCCAGTTTCCTTCAGGCCCAGCGCCCCGGCCTGGCTGCCCCGGACAGGGACCTAGAGCTACCTGACCTAGCTGGGGGGGGGGGGAGAGGCGGGGGGAGGCCCAGGGGGCTCCTTAAGAGCCGCACATCAGGCACTCGTCCCGGTTCTCCAGGGAGCAGACCATGGCCGCCGTGTTCCTCTCCTTCTCCTCCTCCTCCCGGGAGGCCTTCTCCTTCAGCTTCTCCTTGTTGAGGGTGAACTGGATGGGGTTGGCCGCCGGCTTGGTCCGCAGGTAGTACATCCCTGTCTTCAGGCCCTGCGGGAGGCAAGCGCACATCAGCCCAAAGAGCCACGGCATCCAGGCTAGAAAGCAGGGGGGGGGGCGCGAGTTCTAGTCCCGCCTTAGGCACCAAAGCCAGCTGGGAGACTTGGGACTCATCGCCAGGAGACGGTGAGTTCTAGTCCTGCCTTAGGCATGAAAGCCAACAGGGTGACCTTGGGCCAATCGCCAGGAGACGGTGCTCTCTCAGCTGGGCTGCTTCCTTGCAGACGTTTCATGACCCCACTGGGGAACATCGTCAGGGTTCTGCTTTACAGCTGGCGGGGGTGCCTGTTCGGGGGTGCAATTGGCTTCACGGGCCCCCCCAGCCGGCTCCTGGAGCTGCCCTGGGAGGCTCCCCGCTCCCCCCGCGCTCACCTCTTTCCAGCCGTAGAAGTGCATACTGCTCAGCTTGCCGTAGTTGGGCTCCGCAATGTGGATGTTGAGAGACTGGCTCTGGTCGATGAAGGCGCCCCGGTCAGCCGCCATCTTCAGGATGGTCTTCTGGGAGATCTCCCACACCGTCTTGTAGAGCTGCTTCAGGTCCTCGGGGATCTCCGGGATATTCTGGAAGGCAGGAGAGCTGCAGGACGGGCCTCCTCCCAGGCGGCTGGGAGCGGCCGGAAAGCTCCGCTCGGAGCAGCAGCAGAGAAAGCGCCGGGAGCCCCAGCGGCCTCTCGGCAGGCAGCCGCGGACAGAAAGCCTGGCGCCAGGGGCCCCTTTAGCCTGGGCAACCCAGCAGGGAAGCCAGGAAAGCTGGTTTGGCTGATTAAAGTTCTGCACCGCCTGTCTCAACTAAGGGACTCCGGACGGTTTTCACCCTATCGCTGCAAGCAGCCAGCCTCCCCCGGAGGATCTGCACGCTGCACGAGGCGAGGGTGGGGGTGGGGGGGGGCTGAGAAAATACCCGCAAGGCCCCCCACGCCCTGGGCAGGATCCGTTTCAGCTCCTCCCCTCTGGGCAGCGCTATGGGGCGGCTG